TTTCAGTGCGTTTGCCGCTTTGACCGCCAGGGGCCGCTGTGTGAGCAGCCAATTGTCATACGGAATGCCGCCTTCTCCGGCGACTCGTATGTGTCGCATCGCATCTACAAGGACATACCGCAGCACGAGGCCCTGGACGCAGTGCTGCCCATGCACATACAGCTGAAGGTGCGCACACGGGCCACCAATGGACTGATCATGCTGGCCGCCGCACAGGGCACCAAGGGCGGCCACTATATGGCCCTATTCCTGCAAAAGGGCCTCATGCAGTTCCAGTTCTCGTGCGGATTGCAAACGATGCTGCTGAGCGAACTGGAAACGCCCGTGAACACGGGCCACGAAATTACCATTCGAGCTGAGTAAGTGAAATGCCCGGCCACGGAATGCAATTATGTGGTTCACAGAGAACTGGGCCCCAGCCCCACCAATGGATCACGGGTCAGGCAGGCTGGCGGGCTGGCAACTTTGATAGAAGGGAGGTCGGCACGTTAATTAACTTTTTAAATTGCGCCTGACACGAGTGTCGAGTGTCGAGTGCCCAGGGGCAACTGCTGCCGGGGTTCAGCATGTGGGTCACTGTCAATGCTGCAGGAAACGGCAGCAGGATGCCGCCATGGAGCGCAGGCCATTAAAGTTGCCTTATGTCGATTTCCATGCCGTTTGGCCACCACAAATTATAATGCTTCAAGTGTAGAATAAATTGCGCTATTGCCGCGCTTCGCCTCTTTTTTTTTTGTATTTTTTTTTGGCAATATCCCAGCCCCAGCTCCTGCTCCGCGCCGCCGATCCTTGGCTTCGCATTCATGCGTAATTAGTTGGCGTAGTTGGTTTTTGGCTCAAATTTAATTTGCCGCATTTTCTGCGCTCGCTCGCCAAACGGAAGCGGAAGTTGAATGGCTGCAGCGAACCCCAGAGACACAGAGACTGGGGAGCTGCGTAACTTGAGCGCCAAAGGGAAAGTAAAGCGTAGCTCTTGCGTAATTAATCGTTTAACTAACAGTTCCCGAAACTCTGCGCACCACTCTCAAATGCGAAATGTAATGGCGCAAAGGACAATTGCGATAACAGGGACAATGCCAAAGAAGTTAGACAGCAGCTGGCCCAGCCCGGCCGGCAATGGCCTCGGCCCCCCAAAAACCTCTTCAGATAAATTATGCGGCGGCTAAACTAGAAATAAGCTGCACATATGCTGCAAATATGTTAAGCACAAGCCCATTTAGCGCAATGAGATCCATAAAAAGAGCATTTCATGTGGGCTAATAGATTGCACAGAAATCTCTTCAAAGATAAAATTAGCAAAGGGCAAAAATGTTTGCCAAATTGTGAGAGAGAGTATATTAGTTTCCATGTGCAACTAGCTAGCTAAAGACAGAAAAAATAACCAAAATGTGGGAGAGAGTATATTAGTTTCCATATGTATCTATCTATCTGCCTATTGAGCGGGCCAACTGTTCGTATGAATATCAAGTATTCGAATATATGGCTAATCAGATTCTATAGTAAAAAATTTCATTCAATAGTTTCCCTAAAGATTAATAATACGATATTAAAATATTTCTATTTTACTATCAAGATCAGCAAAATTGTGCATGATGTATCACTACGCTATGTACACAGTCAGAGCCTCAATTAAGTACAGTAGAGTCTCGATAATTTGTACCCCGATAAATCAAAAATCGCAATTAATCGAAAAAAAAATTGTATCCCCTTGAAAGAAATTTGTTCTCAATAATTTTCAATGCTTTGAATTTCTCTGTAAATCGAAAAGCAAAAATTGATCCCCTTGCCATTTCGAATTATCAGGATTCAACTGCATATATAATATAAAATATAATTTTATATATAGATATGCTCCCCATTTAAACATATTTAAATTTGAAAGCCCTTCAACACATTTGATTTCAATAATAATTCAAAGTACCGAGTGCAAAAAATTACTTAAATAATTTCGCATTCAACCAAAACCGCATAATATTGCAGCAATTGCTTAACTGTGAGCCCTTTTAGCCAATTTATTGTTGTACTGCTACTTATGCTGGCCGCAGAAACCGAACGGAAATTTATATGCATGGAATTCAATTCGAGTGCTCTCACAACATGTGATCATTTACATTTAACTGGCAATTCGCAAATTTACAATTCAGTCGAGTGCAATTACTTAGGAGAAGAGGAGTAGGGGCTCGACGGAGTTCGATGGGGTCAGCCATATGGAAAATGACCAAGTAATCATTTTACAAAATCAACAAGCAACAACGAACGAATTCCCACAACGCCGCAACGACGAGTGGCATAAACAGCACATTAAGGAATAAATATATCAGGCAAATAGGTCGCTCGGCTGGCTGCAGTCGGACGTGAGAAAGTGAAAGAGAAAGCAAATAAGATGAATGGGATCAGGAGTAGCTGACTGCGCAATACACGCTCAGCATTTACAGTGGAGATTAGAGCGAGTTTTTATGGAAGAGCTCGAGCTCAATCCGATTCAAATATAATTCATACGGCTCTTCCACTCCATAAATCCGACATAAATAAAAACTAATATACTCCTTTTGCTGAAGTCTATAAAAAAAATCAACACACACACACACACACACACAGAGCAGACTGGACTGGCCTATATAAATAATTTACTGCTTAGAGCGAGAGGGCTATAGTAATGGGCATTGGATATCTCTTTCTTGTTTTTATGACTATCGAATCGACCACAAATTTACTTTTTAGCACTTGGTCCCAGCTCGGGGCACACTCATGTGGTAGAGAACTGGGTCCGCCACTGGATTTACGAGCAACAAATTTATGTTTGTTGCCTATTTTTATTTGACTTGCGTGCTTAATGGCCATGCCACCAGGACACTTCATGTTCATGCCTCGACTACAACGCCTCCAACTGCTGTTCTAGCTCCGACTCCTACTCCTGCTCCTGCTGTTGCTCCCAGCTCATTCGCCCAGAGGCGATTTAGCGTCTCCCAGTCGACGCGACAATGGCAATGAACATAGACCTTCCAATGAACTAGTTCGTGACACACACACACACAGTTATGATTGTCCTGCGGCGAAAGTGCTGCTTGAACTTTTCTCTCACTCTGGGCCTTAGCAAAATTTTCATTGAGCCGAGTCGCGCCTAATGAGCCTAATGCTCCACACAATTGACATTTTACTTAAGGATTTCACAAGAAGTCCGTGTAATTAGAAAGCAATAACAATTACCGCACAATTATGAAGCTTTCGCTTAATCTCGGCTAGGGCTTAGGCCGTTCCGCACTTCCGACTCCACAGCAAAATTAAGTGCATTAAGCATTAAAGGCCGCAACTTTGCCGCCAACTTAAATTAGAGTAGGAAAAAATAAAAACAAAAATCAAATGAACTTTTTGCTGCTTAATCAATCGCAGCTAATTGCTCGAATTATATTATATTTGTATGAAAATCTCTAAAATTGTTGTCCTTGAGTCGAGTTGATTCATTATTTTCTGCCATTGACTGCGGCTAAAAGCCAATTTCATGTGCTTGAAAATTGAATTGCCGTGAAATTTTCGCTTATAAAGAAGCATTAGCAAATTATACGCTTAACAAGGGCAGCAGCAGCTGTTAACGGCTTTAAATGTTTGATAATGTTTTTTGAAGGGTTTTTATGTTTATTGATTCGGGACGTTATATTTCTCGGTGCTTGAATGCTAACAAAATAATTTAAAATAAGCTGATTAGCTTATTGATTGAAATATTTTAAGGACAT